CAGGACATAGAGCTGCAGGACATAGAGCTGCAGGACATAGAGCTGCAGGACATAGAGCTGCAGGACATAGAGCTGCAGGACATAGAGCTGGACCACATCTGGATCAGTTTCTCCTCCTTCCAGGCGTCAGGCAGCAAAGCATCAGCCTGTTTCTGAGCTCAAAATTGTTTAAAGATTCACAGTTAAAAACATTTAGAAAAAAATGTCTAAAAATAAAAAAGGTCTGGATCACTAAGGAACCCATAAGCAGTCGCCACCTGGATGGAGCAAAACCTTCTCCAGGGACATGGTGGACATGATGGACATGATGGACATGGTGGACATGATGGACATGAATGTTTTTTTCTATATGGTCCAGTTCTAACCAAAAGCTTTTAAACAAACATGTTGGAAACTCTGATTGTGGAAACAAGGAGAAACTTTTGTTCCATGTCGGAGGCGGAGGTCAGGAAGGAGGCGCAGCAGCAGCGGCTGAGTGGGAGGGCTGGATGTGGGTGAGTATTGATCGGCGCCCCCCCCTGAAGCGCTGCAGCTTCGTTCCTTCGTTCGGGTTTCCTTTCTTCCTCCCTCCATCTTTCCTCATGGCGGGTGCCCTCCTCACACGCAGCTCTGGGCCGCCGCCAGGCAGGAAGCAGCCGTGCGTGTGAGTCTGCGTGCGAGGGCGATGAGAGGGTCGATAGAAACCCAGTCATTGTGTGTGTGTGTGTGTGTGGGGGGGGGGCACTAAAGCTGCTGCTATGATCACTGTAGATCTGAAAGAGGTGCATCGATCGTTACTTCCGGGTAGAAGAACGCCATCATGGACGCTGCTTGTTTACAGATCATCATCCAGGCAGGAAAATGTTCCTTTATGATGAGCAGCTTTAATAATTCCCTCTGGTTCCGTTTGCAAACAAACGTTCTCGGTAATCGATGTTGACTGAAGCATCATGATGCAGATTACTGGAGATGCAATCACAGAAATTTGGCAGGAACATTTCTGAGAAGATAAGCTGATTATTCAGTCCCAGTCTGCAGCCAAACTAAAACAAAACCAGCAAACTTCCAAAGGACCCCCCCCACACACACACACACACACACAGAAAGATGAATAAAATCTGCTCAGTTTCTGCCTCAAATATTTTAATTCCTCTTAAAATATTTGAATTCCTCTTAGAGAAAAATGCAGATTGTCGAGGAACGGCTGGAGGCTGGTTGAGGACCAGATGCAGCGATGAAGACGCAGATATGATTCTTGTAGGTTTAATGGAAATCCCAAAGGCAACAAAAACACAAAGAAACAGCAGGAACCAGCTCTGAAGAACTGCATAGGGAGACAGACAGAGACGATCAGCTGATAGGGAGCAGGCGTGGATGGAAGGGACTAGAAGGGAGCTGGGGAAAGGAGACGGGCAGAAGGGGGCAGCAGAGAGCAACTAAAGACTGCTGAAATATAACAACTAAACCAAAAGAGAATTACTTAGATAACTAAAACTCTAAACTCAAAGTCCAAAAGGTGAAACCATAACACAGCTGAGCAGGAAGCAGCAGGAAGTCTGACCGTAGAACTAGAGCATCCAGACCGCCAGCACACAGGGTGTAGCAGGCGACCGTCAATGGTCTGGTTCCTGAAACCAAACTGGAAAAAAATGGAAATGTAAGAACCAGGAAAGAAGAACTGAAGAAAACTGGAATCAGTGATCTACCACATATAGATCTATGTTCTTATCTTCCAGATCTAAAGCTGTTTATCTACCAGATCTAGATCTATGTTTTATCTACTAGATCTAGATAGATATGGGGAGTGGTGGCCTAGTGGTTATGGCATAGAGCTTGGAATCCAGATGTTCTAAATTTTGAGTCCCACTCCCACAGACTGCCACTCTGGCTCCCTGAGCGAGACCCATAACCCCACGCTGCTCCCTGGGCGCCGCACAATGGCCGCCCACCGCTTTGGTCGCTCTGAACAGTGGAA